CTGCCTGCTAGACGGAGTTCTCACTGTGGATCAGTGAGATGTGAAACACAGTGGAAGCCAAGCTGTGAAGCTCACCTGAGGCTTTGACTCTCACTGTTCCTGTGATAGAAGATAGAAGACTCAAAAACCAGCATAAAAAGCTGAAATATACAATTTTTATAATTGTAAAAAAAAAAGGCTTCTAATTGGCTGTTATCGGTGCAAAATCTTACTTTCCCCTGTATTCACTTTAAACGTTTTTCCCCTCATCGTTAGAGCAACTTCAATGTGGCGGTCCTGAACGTCGGCGCCCCTTCTGCCGGTATGAACGCCGCGGTCCGATCGGCGGTCAGGGTGGGCATCTCTGAGGGTCACAAGATGTTCGCTGTCAGCGATGGGTTTGAGGGGTTCTCCAAAGGACAGGTGTGTATTTCCAGCACTTACATACATGTCCATATTATTATATATCAACTGCTATTTTTTATTTAAGTCCAAACGAGAGTTGAAAAGTGTCAGGAACTGCACTGGGACTATAAAAACGATATGCACTACACAGTCACTGTTAACACCTTGACTGAAGATTAATGAGGGTTAACCTAGTGGATGCAGATTTTTGTGTAAGCCCATTTAGACGTGCTTAACTCCTCTGCCCTACTCAGACAAAGCCGGTGCAGTACCCCAGTAAGTCACGAGAGGGCAGCAACGTATTTTGAAAATGTTGACACTTGATTCCATCAGTTATCACCTCATTGAACATTGGATGAATGGATCGACAGTCTTTCGTTTTGTGTGACAGTGGGAATACTTGTTCATAGGTGTTTGTATTTCACTCAGAAACTGTGTTTTGTATATCAATACCGTGGCCTGACATCTGAGACCTGACTGACTGTTCCACGGCTGGAAAAACTGGTTCCACACTTTCAGCCTAAACAAATCATCCATTCCCACCATCCAGATCAGGTTCATTTAAATGTGTCTGGTCCAAAAAGAAGAAAAGACATTTAGTTGTTTTTAATCTTCGCCCATCACAGACCAGCTTAGCATCATTTAAATGCTTTGTCCGCAGACATGAGGGTCAGATTACAACAGATGGTCAAAGTAATGTAACTCTACACTGCAGTGCTTTGGTGCCCTCTGCTGGCCTTTTTTAATATCACCTCTTTTACCGCAGACAAATATAATGGGCTACAAATGACACATTTTGATACAAATTTAAATATAGAGGCCATGATTCCAGACTCATCCGTTGTCAATTTTTGTCATCTATGATTATCAGTTAATATGGTTATACACAGTATAATCTGTAATGACACTGATCATTTGTTCGGCTCTAATACGTATAAACATAAAAACGTTTTAGCAACAACTCAGAAACAACCCTTTCCTCCTTTTTCTTTATCCCTGCAGATTAAGGAAATCAAATGGGCAGATGTCGGAGGTTGGACAGGACAAGGTGGATCCCTGTTGGGAACTAAAAGGTAATAGTGTTTTGTATTTTCTCTTTCTGAGCATCAGTGTTTTTATCAATCAGGTTAATAATTCTGATAATGTTTTTTGCTTCTCCCACTGGTTCTTTTCTTAGAACTCTTCCCGCTAAGCATGTTGAAAAAATTGCCGCGGAGATGAGAAAGCACAACATAAATGCACTGCTAATTATTGGTGGATTCGAGGTATGTTTCGCCACACGTTTCTTTCAAGTTATTTTGTCTCGTTTTAGCTATTCAGTGACATTGTGAATGCATTCTGTCTTTAAGTGTATTTATTATTAGTGTTTATATTTCATGACATGAGTATTTTCCCATTGTAGAATCAGATAGTGTGTAAAATATATGTATTCTATTCATGTGTGATTCTTCAATGTCATGTATTGCATACATTGTCGTGTTGTAGTATTGTTAAAAATACCTGTATTAGAAAGCTGGTGGATTTTCAATTTTTTAAAGATGTAATTGTGGAGAGGAAGTCAAACAGTTCACTCTAGCCATTTCACACTCTCCCAATTAGAAGCTCACCAGCTTTGATTTTCCTCTGACGTATGAAAGCAAATGAGTTTATTGTGTATGTACAGATATGTGTGTGTCTGTGTGTGAGAGTGTGCCATGAAAGGTACCTGTCTGTTTCGCTGTTGTCCGTTGTGATAGACCTGGCTCGTCCCCTTGGCACCTTTCACTTTTTTGTCTTTCCCCTCCTTCCTTTGTGGCAAGTAGCACCACCCAAACCACAGCACCCTGTAACTGTTCTAATCCCGACGACCACTAAAGCCATTGGCTCTGCCCTGCAGGCCTTCCTGTCACTGCTGGAATTGTTAACGGCGCGTGGGAAATATGACGAGTTCTGTGTGCCCATGGTCATGGTCCCAGCCACTGTCTCCAACAATGTGCCGGGCTCAGACCTCAGCATTGGCGCAGACACTGCTCTGAACGCCATCACTACTGTAAGTGATGGGGGCCGGCGACCAGCACAAAGACCTCAGCAGCACACAGGCACATATAAAACACCACCATAGTCGAGAACGCCGTGTTTGGAGAGCAGGGACGCACTGAGAGTATTATTACTCACACATTTTGATCACAACTGTAGCGGTGAAAGCGCACGATTCGTGCCTGTACTGCCAGGTAAAAGGTAAAACTGAGTCAATGAGTAGCGTAGCCTCCTCCCGTTTTACTCAGGTAAGTTGACGCGTGACAACATGGCCGCCATGTTTGATCTGCTTGCCCCTTTCGTCCCAAAATGTGTGTTTGTGTCCTGCTCCATCTTCAACGTCAAGATGAGTGGTGAACAGCATGCACGCTCACTGTTGCCTTTGTTTTTTTGTTTTTTTTTTCTACACACAAAATTAACATCACGTAACAAACAAATAAGCCCTGTTTCCTAAAAGGTTGGTTGTGCTATAAAATCAAAGCTAAAATCTGTTACACGGTAATTCAGTCAAATAAAAGTGGGGGGAAAAAAATATCGTTGTTTTTTTTACAGACTAATTGAATTCAAAACGCTTAACATTAGCCAATTCAGAAATCATTTCCTGGAACAAACTGCAAATCAACTGCTCGACAGTCTGTGGTTATCGTGATCCCATTTTCCTCATCATTATGCGCCGAACCATTTCAGTCAGAGCAGGTTCTACGCCGCAGACCGGGCTCTATATTTACCAAGCCACATTTAAATAATTTGTGCAAAATAGAGCCAGAAATTGCACTGCTGAAATAATCATGTAGTTGTGACTTAAACCCATCAGAGAAAACATCCCTTTGTCTCTTAATCAAAGGCTTCAGTGCAGTTACTTAAGAATGGATTTTTATTTCTTCTTCTTTCAGTAGTGAATCAATCATTTTTGGAAATTTTGGGCTTGATATATTTAAAAACGACACCACCGCTCAATCTAAAAATATCCGACTTAACTTCAAAGTTGTCGTCCTGACACATTAACATGCATTCATGAAACAATAACATCAAGGCTGACATAATCAGACGGACTTTCCCCCGGCCAACATCGACATCCCATCATCCTCCCTCGCTTGTGTATGCCGTACTCTGTACATGCTTGTGTTGCCTGCGTACGACCTTTGACAGCAAATGTGAACTTGGGCGACTCTAAGTGTTAGCTCTCCGCATCTGTCCCATCTCCTCCTCGCTCCTCTTCGTCTGTTTCCTCTCTTCTCCATTCCAATGGTCACCTGTCCATCCATCCTCCCTTCCTTTCTGCCAAAGGGAAGCCACAGCTGCTATCACACGGAAAGAGCCGGACTGGCAGGATACTGCTCTAGCAAACAGAGAGAGTGCTCGGCCGCTCTCTTTCTCTCTCTCTCTCTCTCTCTCAGTCGCTGGCTTTCTGTGTAGCTCTAATGCATTTTCATATACTGCCGCTTCAGGCGTTTGAAAGTCTGCTGCAGCTGTATGAAGCTCGCGGTACCTATGAGGAGTTTTGCATCCCGATGTGTATGCTGCCTGCCACCATAAGTAACAATGTCCCGGGCACAGATCTAAGTATCGGGGCAGACACAGCCCTCAATGCCATCGTGGAGGTAAGGCAGTCAAACTGCTGCTGGCAAACACAGCACTGAGCGCTCATCTTCATTGTACATATACGAATGCCACAACACAGAACATTTAATAAAGTGACCAGAAAAAGTATGCACTTGAGGCTAAATACCAGAACTTCCCGATAGTCAGTCAGAACTGAAGACGCCTCTTGGATGAGAGGTGAAACGTCTTTGAGAAATCTACTCCGTCCAGTTGTAACTATTTTTGGATAAGATGACCTGGATGACTGAGAACCTACACAGACAACTTTAACAATGTCTTGACAAATCTTAACCTCAATTAGAGCTTATTAATAAGTAGCTTTAGTGCCCATTCAACACATCATTACAACTCAACTAATGCATCGATAGTTACTGTTATTGTTACTGTGCTAAAATACTTTGTATTATATCAATTTCCAATGTTATCCTGTCGAGCTAAAAGACCTTTAATCATCGTTAGTCAAAAGGCTACTTATTTTATCACAGTGACTGGAGTGATCTTCACTACTAAACCAAAAACAACACTGAAAAGAGTTTTTAATTTCATCTTATTTGACTCATAAATGGCATCTCTTCACCGTCTGACGTGTTCTCTCATCCTTGTGCAGGACTCCGGTCTCTGGTGAAAGCCCTTCTTGTGGCCCACAAATGCCTGAAAATGTTCAAATATCTGTGATTGACAAAAAAGCATGTGTTGATGTGGTTCTGTGGAATGCGTTGCCTTTTAATCGTGCCTGCTCGATTAGCAAAATAGCTAACGTCAGCGTAGACCGAGGCTAAACTGATTGGTCTAGACTTTAACACAAAAATGCTGAGTTGATATTCATTTCTTAACCTGCACTAATAATAAGAGCTCGTGTGCATGTGTCAGACCTGCGATCGCATCAAGCAGTCGGCCAGCGGCACCAAGAGGCGCGTGTTCATAATCGAGACCATGGGGGGCTACTGCGGCTACCTGGCCACCGTGGGAGGGTTGGCGGCCGGCGCTGATGCAGCGTACATCTTCGAGGAGCCCTTCGACATCAGAGACCTCCAGGTAACACACTCGCATGCATACACCTGTGGTACAGTTGTGTTTTGTTACCCACAACTCTACGAGTTTTTTATGATTTGTTTGCTTTATTGTGTTATCACAGGCTAACGTTGAACATCTGACGGAAAAGATGAAGACGAGCATTCAAAGAGGTCTGGTCCTCAGGTGAGACAGTTACAGATAATTACTAAAGTAAGGAACCACAGTGGTTGGACCTGGGAGCAAGGTTTCCTCTTCAACCCATAGTTTACGTCTATGACTTGATGCATTAATTATTCAAACCTATTCTTTCGTTTCTGCTGAACTGATACCACATTTGCTAAGAACGAAAAGTTAAAAAAAAAAACCTGTTTCTCCTTTTTTTTTTTAGACTCGAGCAAACCGTATATTTTAACACATGTCATGCGGTTGTTTCATAATTTCCAAAGACCACTGAATCAGCAACTTCGCTTTTATTTTTCCAGAAAGCCTATTAAAAGAAACAGGGAGTGGCCTAATGTGTGGTGAAGATGGTGTCGTAGGGAGAAACTCTCTGAGGGAATCTGAGGAACATTTCATTATCTATTGAAAAATAAACAATAGGCCGATGAACAATAACAATATAAGTAAAAATATGTCAACAATATGTGAACACACTGCAGATATTAATGATAAGTGATGATGTGTGACCGTTGTGTTGAACTCTTCTTTTGTAGGAACGAGAATTCCAATGAAAACTACACAACGGACTTCATCTACCAGCTGTACTCTGAAGAAGGGAAGGGAGTGTTCGACTGCAGGAAGAACGTACTGGGACACATGCAGCAGGTCAGTGTCGCTCTGCTAATGCAGAGTTTCCTAAAGTGAGGGGCACACTCCTCTCAGGGGTCACGGAGATATTGCAGCAAAGACAGAGAATTAAAAATCAGTCAGTTTAATTTTATTTATCCTTAAACGGGGAGAATGTGTCGACGTGGGCGAGAGGTGACTTTTTAAGTGGATTTATTAAAGACATCAAAGCACGATGTAAAAATCTTTTCATTTTCTCTGACAGGGCGGTGCTCCGTCTCCATTTGATCGTAACTTCGGAACCAAGATTTCTGCCAAGGCGATGCAGTGGATCACTAAAAAACTGGATGAGACCTTCAGACGAGGTAACGCTTTTGTGAACATGAGTGCAGTGACAAAAAGTCACCAAGTAAAGTACCAGCCTGGAACTGCCGTTGAGTCGAGCTCCAAATTACAATCTACTTTTGAAGATAAACCATCGATCGTGTAAAGTACTCAGTACACTGCTTTTATGTAATATTGATATATACCAGTAATACTGTAGTCCAATGTTTACAAGACTCATGGATCAGTCTCTACATTATAGTGAGTGGTGAAGCTCACAAAGCCATAATTACAGAAGCTGAAATGTTATTACAGCAGGAGCAGTCTATGAAAGGTCAAAGGTTATTCTAGGCCCAATTATTTAAATATCATTTCTTTCTAATCCTTTTTCTTCAGAACAAAAGGTTCCTAAGGTTTTTCAAATAAAGTTAAAACTCCGTTGTTTTTTTTTTTTTATTTCTATTTCCTTTACATCTGGATGACATAAGATGAAGGTAAATCTTTTTTTTTTTTTTTTTTTATAAAAAACACTAGCTCCATCACCATCTGCATCTTACATATGTAGCTCCATGTCCATGTCTGTTATTTTCATCACTCACCTGTGTTGTGTAGAAGTGCACAGTCCGTCCAGGCTCAGCTGATGGTGCAGCCACGGTGTCCGTCTGTGTCGTAGAAACTATAGCGTCGCCATGTCCAGCACAGGAGTCACGTAGAGTAGCTGGACCGGACATACGTCCAGGCTCAGCTGATGGTGCAGCCACAGTGTCCGTCTGTCCATATGGACATGGACTTAATGCAAAAAAAAAAAATGCACCTGCCGCTTTGCCTCCATTCCATTGTGTGAATGTCTGTAGCATCACATTGCTTTAGTTTGCTTGGGTGACACTGTTCAGACTTGGTCTCATCTGAATGCGTTTACCGTGAACAAGCGTAGAATCATCACCATCAATCACTGGTCAATCAGTGCTCTGTATACGTTTCAGCAGCGGATTGAACATTGAGATTCGTCAACAATCACCCAGTCTTTAACAAACTTCGAACGAGACTCGGTGCATGTTTTGAATGATTAGCACAAACGCCGTGTGATGTGACAATTTGGAACAGTTTGACGCAAAACAAAAATTACACCTGAGATATTTGAATGTCACGCTGCCTGCTCCTTTATGAAACTGTCAAACTGACGGTTAGAGCCATTCTTTACCGTGTGACAGAATACATCTGTATTCAAAAAACGACATTATTGAATCCAGCTTGGAGAAACTCAAACACACGTGGGGTCTTTTTTCCATCTGCCCACATATGATCAGGTACCAGGTCTGAACAGGACTCTAGCTGCTGTCATCACCTTCAAGACTTTGTTTACATCTGTTGCACCCACCCCTGCCCCCTGGCTGTAGAACTGTAGAACTCTGATAGATCTATGCAGCCAGGTGTACTGTAGTCCTTGCTGTGAAAAATAGTCCCTCACTGTAGAGGAGTCATCCTGAACCTTGTCAGACGAAGTCTGCACAATGCTACGCTCGTGCACTGTGTGGTGAGACACAGACAAATAAAGAACACACTCTGGTGCCTCCACCTCTGACTTCAGCTGTGTTTCCCCGCAGGTCGAGTGTTTGCCAACTCCGAGGACACCTGTTGTCTTCTGGGGATGCGTCGAAGAGCTCTGGTCTTCCAGCCCGTTGTACAGCTCAAGGATCAGACCGACTTCATGTATGTTGTCGCACTGACCGACTCACCGTCAGCTAGGTTACAGATATACTGTACGGTGACGCGCATTCAAACAGCCAGCGTCAAAGCAGCTTTATGAAAGCAGTTGATTTGTTTTGTTTTTTTTTTACAGCATTGCTAAATTGATGAAGCTAAATTGCTAAAAATAGGAGTTTGATAGGATAACAAAACCACTAAATCAGGAGTCAGTGACTATATTTTATGATAGACGGTTTTTCCTAATTTTTCTGGACAGTCCCCTTTTTCGGGCTGGACACTTTGCTGACATTTCCCTCTTTGTCCACAGTCACAGGATCCCTAAGGAGCAGTGGTGGCTGAAGCTACGTCCCCTCATGAAAATCCTGGCTAAATACAAGACGAGCTACGACGTCTCCGACTCGGGACAGCTGGAGCACGTTGTACGCAACAGGCCTAAAGAGTTAGACGCTTCGGTCGCCATGTAAAGGCCTCCGTCACTTCCTCCTGCGTATCCAAGTTTAGCCATCGTTTTGTGTGTTGTTAGACGAGCTCCAGTAACAAAGACAACAAAGTGTTCATTTTCAGTCCGGACCATTTATCTCCCTCGTACTGTAACCTGTGTAAGTCCTCATAGAGCTCGACTAGCTAAAGAAAAAAAAAAAAAAAAGACACTCCTATGCTTGTGCACACATTAACACACACACACACCCACACACACACTTGTCCGGTCATGCATCAGTGTGTCCTGGTTGCTCTGGATGTTTGGTGTCACTGTCCATGTTTTGAAATTGCACTTTCTGGTGTCTGCGGTCGTTCCGCGACAGTAAGGACGCTAACTGCTGTAAAAACCAGTGTACGCGTGTACATCTGCCTAGAAACGGTGTGAGGTCCGGCATATTAATGATGGAAACCGTTATCGTCCGAACCACGTGCTGCGCTTCACACAGAGACTAATATTTAATATTTTTAACATTGTTTATCATTTTTGCTTGGAAACTTGAGTTTAAATATAGGTAAATAAATATATATATATATTATATTGTCAGCACTGATGTGAAGGCGTCGCCCTTTGTCCTATTGCAGAATAGATGTGTAAAAGACCCACGAATAAAAGCCAGACTTCAGAAGTGTACACATCGGTGTCTCTGCATTCCTTTACTCATCTCATCAACATACAGAGGACAGACGGACAGACAGATGGACGGACGGACGGTGTTGTGTCGTCCACTGCCTCAACAGTGAGCCAGCAGGTTAGAATGGGCTACTGGTCATTGCAATTCAATGAATTCTAGGGCAGAATAACCGAAAGTTTACATTCACTAGCAACCAACTTAAGCCTTTGCATGAGGTGATGGGTAAGCTGGAGCCAATCACAGCAGCCAGCAGGTTAGAATGGGCTAGTGGTCATCGCAATTCAATTAATTCATCTGAAAGTTATTATTTATTCACCGGAAATATTTTTGCTGTCTTTGCGACAGTCACAGACAAAACATTAAATACGTTTCCACTTGATGGCAGCAGATTTCTTTAAAAACTCGAACAAAGACTCAGCCGTTGAAACTCTTAGTTTCTTTCTTCAATGCCTGCAAGTATAGCTGTGTTGTGTTCAACTAAACAGGCTGATGTTTCATACTAAGTAAATTGAAAACTTTTATAGAATTTTTTCTGTAAAACAACTATTCAATAGGGGGCTAAAAAACTAACCACTAATCATTACACCACTATCACCATTCAAAAATTGTGCTTATTGAGTGCAAAGTTCTTAATTTCAAATAAAAAAAAAATATTGTTCCCTAGAAACAACTATTCAATAGGGGGCTAAAAAACTAACCGCTAATCATTACACCACTATCACCATTCAAAAATTGTTTCTTAAAAAGTTCTTAATTTCAAATAAAAAAAATATTGTTCCTGTGAAGAATGTATTTTAAATAGTAACGAATGGACTATGGGTGAAAGAGGACGTCTCCTGGCGATGCTTGTGTATTTTGCACATCCGTGCCAGCAGATGGCGGCAGAGTACTTTTTCTCGTTCGCAGTGCCCGGGTTCATCGGGTCCACTATGACACAGATTCCCTCCATCAACTGCTGTCCGCTCCTGCTTTTTACAATTTCAGTGCATTGTGGCTTATTACTAAGGCAGATTAAATACGTGAGGCCTTGTTTGTCCTCCCCCGTCTCCCCCCCCCCCTCTCTCCGTGTGTTACCATAATTAGGAATTAATCTTATCATTTCAAGGCAAATTTATATTTCCCGTGAGCATATTAATGGTGTATACGTGTAATTGGGCTGCTTTCGTTCCCGCTGCCTAAATTGACCTCTTTTTATCCTTAACTGTGAGTAATTACATGCATATGTGGCCGTGCTGAGGCCATCACTTAGCGACAGTGCACTGATGTGAAACACAATTTGAAGGAAAAAAGCCTACCTGAATCACCTTTACTCCCCAAAGACCCTCCTTGAACCATTATCATCTTGGACTTAAACCAGCGTCTTTAATTCAGCCTCAGCGGCAGACGTCCGCACTAAACCACTCCTCTCTTCCCATCCCATCATCTCCTCTGCCCCCGGTGGGAACGTGGTTCATTGTTGAGGCATTTACATGTGGCTGGCTACTTCTCTCTAAGCACGGAATTATTAAATCCAGTAATTTGGGTTGATTTAAGAATGCAAGGGCAGACTGCAGGGTCATACGCACATTGCACTCTCATTGGACTGATTAAAAGGCTGCAGATGAAGGGTCCTGCTTCTTTTTATAGGCTGACCTCACACTCTGTAAACTTGGTCTTCATTTTTTCACATTGTGCTTCACACACAGGCTGGTGGCAAATCTCCAAAAGAGCGCGTGCACTTTGACCTTTTCAGAATAAAAGCCCGTTTTTTTTTCCCGTGTCGCCTGGTGTCTCAACGACCAAGTTTTTACGTCCAATAGAACCACATTGGTGGGAATTTCTGATTGCAGTGCAGAAGTGAAGAGCAGCCACGATGATGCAGGTGACTGCAAAGGCGCTGGGATAACAATAGCAACCGGAGCTAATAAATCCTGGCTGCCTGAGATTGAGAACGCGTCTCTGATTCTAGTAAATCACTGTCAGAATTATTATTTATGACTAAATAAATCCATGCAAAAATAAAATAAAATAAATGAGCACATAATAAATTCTAAGAATTGGACAAGCAGAGAACGGCTTAGAAGTTATAGATTTTAGATCCAACTTGGCCGCAGTCTCGCTGGGCTGCCAAGTAAACCAGGGATTTGATCCACCTGAAGCGACCGATACAAGTCCAGTGAACCCCACTTCAATTTAGACTTTCTCCCCCCAATCCTCCAATCCCACCATCCGGGATCTCGTCCGAGGACCCCTTTCTGACAATTAAGAACACCGGTGGAGGCGTGGAGAGATCACAATCCCATGATCCTTTCTGCTGTTTGACCCAATCTGTCCACTGAGCCCTCACTTCCCTTATTAGTACAAGTCTGCTGTTTTGTCAGGAAAAGGGATTAGTAAAAACACAAGTAGAACCAATTTCCGTCCCCCCTGATCTCCCTTTGCCTTTTCCCTCTCCGACACCATTCAAGGCTGACAGATGTAAAGGATGACATTTGCGCACTAATGAAATTCGCCGTGCATCGTTTCTGATGCTAATCTCCATACGCCGGCGACTGCGGTCTTTATTTACTTGTTTGTGCATGTGACAAATGGTCAGGACCGTCTTTCCCTCGTAGCCGGCGTCTACGGCGCCCCCTGTTTAACCGAAGCCCGGGAGCATCGGCTCTCAGTCAGCTTCCAGTGCGGCGGCTCCGCTTTGATGTATTGGAGTTAATATCTTCCTGACATTTCTCAGGACAGATTTTCATCACTGGATTCATCTATACTTTTGGGGCTTTGTGATAAATGAGTCAGGACATTTATTTTCCCTCCCCTCATCTCTTGCTTCTAGGGGGGAGGAGGAGGGGAGTGGAGGTGTAAATATGTATCTACTGTTGATCTCCTGGTGTGACTCTCCGTCCAGAAGTTGGATCCTTGTGGGTTATGTGTGCATACATACTGCAGTACCACCAAGAACCAGTACCTTTGAGAGAGTAGGAGAGCGGCATCAAAATACTCGTGACGCGAACTTGACGGCGACATTAATGGAGGTGACATTAATTTGGCCCAGCGCTCACTAACATGCAAAGCCACTCGTGGTTCATAAGAACAATATTAACTCCGCATTAACATGCACGGCTGGCTGTTGCACCAGATGCCGAGCGTTTTTTCGAGCCGCCGCAGCCGCCCGTCTCCCCGGGCCCCCGGACGGATCATAGGTTGAGTGTGCACTGCAAAGAAGAAAAAAATCTTACTTTTTCTGCAGTGGTGTTGCTGCTGACACACTCAAACTCCGCCGCTGTGGCTGCAGAGAAACACACTCTGCAGCACAGCCACCATCCAGCGAGCTTTCCAGAAATAGCTGGGAGCACGCAGGCCGGCGGAGAGGAAGCCAGCGGAGACGTAAAATGTGTTAACACTGCCTGGTAGGTCGGCTTTTTTTTTTTTCTCAACTTGATAAAGTGTGAACATGTCCTTGAGCCTTGTAGCGCACACGCACACACACATACACCCATGCACGCACACATATTAAAGGTGTAGCCAGCGGAAAAGCTGAGGGCTATTTAGCCCCGGCCATTAACACTAATCAAAAACCACTTTACCTGATAAGAACTGCAGGGATCATATACCAACTACCTGCACTCACATCCCTCTTCGCTGGTATTGACTAGAATTGGACAAGGTGCTGCTACTAGGAATCATGGAGGTGATGAAGAGATAGCGGTGGAGAGGCTAATTCGTAGCCAAGTCAAAGAGGGAACATTTAGCTGCTGACCTGGATGATTGGAACACAACCTCTAAATGGGCAAACGTGCGATTTACCATATATAACAACAGGATGGATCCCATTAATGCAGGAGAGACACGCTGAGGAAAGTGGGTGGCGTGGACACGTCCAGCGCACAGAGACGCGGGTGACGTCTGCGTATGATGGATTGGACTTTGGACCAGGACTCATGAAAGATGCAGTTATGCAAATGCGCTGTATGACGAGCTGTGCAAGTGAACACAGGTCCCAGAGGGGTTAAACACCCCCCAACCCCGAGTCACCGAAAATACGATAGCCCTTAAACGTTTCATCAGCAAAAATTTGGAATTCACATTTTCGCACTTTAATCCCTGGAGGTAAAAAAAAAAAAAAAAAAAAAGGGGGGTTTTGTGTGGACAAAGAGA